CCAGACCTTTCCCAGCCTTCCTTTCCGAGCTAGTTCCATGTGTTTCCAGAGATTGCTGCCTGTGGCCATTTATGCAGATGCAATGATAAATTTGTAGCAGTTTCAGGTGTTGTCTTCAAACTTCATGAAACTGAGAATGTATATTCTTGCATGGAACCCTTGTATGGTGTCAGCCACAGATGAAGTTCTGACTTTTTGTCTCAGTCTGTGAAGGGTGTCTTTGTTCTATCAGATTTACTGTATTGAAACAATTCAACAGTAGTCTTAGTTAACACTAAATCTTCCCTGGAGTTATTTTTGTTTGACGCTTAATGCAAGGTGCTTTGGACTTAAACTAGATGTGAAATCAGATTGCTGTTTAAAAAACCCAAACCATCATTTAGGAATTATTTGTCTTCCTTTTTTCCTTTAGCCTTCAGTCAGTGGACTTTGAGGCTGTGGCTGTTACAGTCAAAGAGCTAGTCAGCTATGCATTGACTATCAACGCAAACAACCACTTCTGGTTAATTATTCAGGCAGATATTTATTTTGGTAAGTAAAACCAATGTCTATTTTTAGCATATGTGTAGGGGTACCTTCCTTCTCTGGGATTTGACTGACATAACCTTCCTTGTATTTCCTCTTATGGAAAGAAGCTTAAGTGATATATGAGTTTAAAATCTTCAGATGCAGTAGTGAGGGTGAACTTGCCTGTGAGGTTGTCTGAGCCCACAGAGAGACCGAGCTTTCCGTGGGTCATGCAGACTTGCTTTTAGAGTAAGGGAAACTTTACTGTAAGCATCATCAGTAATGTCACTTTCTTTGTGGGTGCAGTTGGTCCTCGAGTGGCATAATTATGCAAACCCCTAATGTTTGCGTCTTTTATGAAGTGAACAGAAAGTTGTGTGAATGGTGCTTGGAGGTCAGCTTCACTGGAGCAGAAGACGAGCAGGGAGGATCTGTATTTTGTATAGGGAAGTATCTAGGATTTGTAAATGAGAGAGGATGAACTGCTGATCTGGTATTGGTTGGGATAGGAAACTCCTTCCTGTCGTTCTCTCCTCACCTGCCACTTCCCCAGCACTTCCCCTCGCTCCTCAGCTGGGAGCTGCCAACAGAATTGGGACATAAAGCGTTTTGGATTCTGGGCACCATGACATGCACCCTGGTTGTACCAGGACAGCGGTTCCCTGGGGACATTTTGCCCAGCCTGTGTGATACTGTGCTTTGTTAAATTATTCCCCAATCCAGAGCCAGTTCCTGGGGCTTCCTGTGTAGTGTGAGTAGAGTGGAGAGAAGTACGTGCTGAAAATGAACTTTTGGAAGACAGCCAGCCAATTACGGTACGGCCTGGTGTATGTGCTGTAGAAGGACATGGCCATAGCTGTCCTCAAAGGCAGCCGGGAATGTCTTCCGCTTAAATTACCTGTTGAGACCACTCCAGTGAAATGTAGCCTTCAAGCCAGGTTGTTCTGGCACGCTGACTCACACCAGCTGAGCTCCTTCGCTCCCACTGAGTGCTAAGTTCAGCGAAGGCAAGGTTCTTTTCCACTCTGAGGTTGACGGATTTGAAATCAAATACCTGAAAAGTAAAAAAGTGATTTGCAAAGGGCAGAACTTTCTCTGTGTTGCTGGTTTTCCTGATGTAGTTTTCCATCTGTCGCTGTTTTACCACCTCCTGTGTGTCTCTGCTTTTTAAGCAATATGCAAGTTACTTCTCAGTAGAATTCGGCTATGAGATGCGTATCTAGGTAATTCTATGAACAATCAACCTGAGTCTTAGCAATAACTGCTGTGTTTACTTTTAAGACCTTATTCTGCTTTTTTCCACTACAGCAACGAATCAGTATTCAGCAGCCCTTCACTATTACCTACAGGCAGGAGCTGTGTGCTCAGACTTCTTTAATAAGATGGTACCACCAGATGTGTACACAGACCAGGTGAGCTAAAATGGGATTTAGGTGTACAGAAATCTCTTTTTGGATTTGGTCAGCATCCCAGTTCTCTGTAGGGACAAAACTGCTAAGCACGCACACGTGCTGTAGCCTGGAAGATTTCACACCTGATGCATTCAGGGGCGTGCATCCTCATAGATCTGTTTTTCTTTGCTTGTTGCTTGAAGGCCATAGGAAATCTGAAGCTTCAGCTTTGCTGAAGTGCAGGCAGTTTTTCCATTAGTTTGGAGGTGCAGAGCTGCCAGCTGGGCAGGCACTGGTACTGCACTCTGGTGCAGCAGTGAGCAAACGAAAAAGCCCAGGAGCACGGACACATGTCACCCAGGGGTGTGGCGGTCCCCCAGCTGGTCCTGGCGGGCCCCGTGTGCAGCACCGGGCCAGGCGGGCAGACCAGCGCAGCACAGCAGCACTCGCTCTTCCTCGCTGGCTGTGCCAGAGCCCTGGCCTGAGCCTCCAGCCGGCAGAAACATCCGGCTCCCACTGTGCTGCTGGTGCTGGTGCCGCAGGGATGGAGCCTGCTTGCTGCCCCCCGTGCTGCAGACAAAGGCAAGTGTGGTGTCTAAATGCTTCCAAAATACTGCCTGTTCTAGCTGACACGCATGAGGGGTGGGAGTATGCATTGTGTTAGCAGTGAGATCCAGCTGCCCCCTGTACGCGCTGCGCCCCCGTACACTTTTTTCTGGACTCGGTGAGCAGAGCGGTGCTGCAGCGCTGTGCCAAGTTGTCTGGAGATGGGTAGGACTGTAACAGCACTGGGCATAGCGGGTGCCCCTGCGCTTAGCAAGTTGGTGTAACAAGTTTCGGGGGGCAGTATTTTCATACCCCATCTGACTGCTGCTCTGTTGGTGTTCCCGCTTGTACGGCAAGCGAGAGCTCCAGCCGCTGTCTGGGATCCTGAAGGCTTGCAGCCCAGTCCACGCTGTGCCTCCTGCCAGGCTGCAGGAGGCCTGGCTGGGACCCCTGCTCTGCGTGCCCTGGTGCGGGAGCTGGTGTCCGTGAGCACCCTGGCTGTGCTGTTCCCACCCAGGCCAGGCCTCTTCTGTGGGTGGCAGGAGGCAGAGGCGAAGCTTTTTAACAGGCCCTGCTCCCTCACCAGAAACACAGTGCTTTGTTCCCCAGCACCCATCCTGCCCTCGGGAAGTCTCCGAAGTGATGAAAGCTCCATTGGTGGATGTGCTAAAACCCAGGAATTGTCGGTGGGGGTTAGAAGAATGTACCTGGTTGCCTAGCTGGTCCCTTGTATTTAACAATAAAAAACAAAACCCAAACAAAAAAAACACAACCCCAAACCCAAGCAAATTGCTGTTTGTGCTCCAATACTGGCATTTCAAAACTTGTGGTTCTTGGGTTTTTTTTAACTGTTCTGTAGGTGATAAAAAGAATGATCAAGTGTTGTTCTCTGCTCAACTGTCACACCCAGGTAAGAGGTGCAGCGTGGCATTTACTAAACCATGAGTTAATAAACCTTTTGATGTTCAAAGGGCGGGGGAAGCTTTCGAAGACGTAAAACTGAATCCAACTTCCTTTGTAATCCACAATGGAATAGGTTGTGGGGGTGTTACTGTTGCTTCTAGGACACTGAAAGGACCGAAACAAACAAGGCTGTAAAAAGTGGAAATAGGCTGGGGGGGAGGTGTCCCATTTTCCTTAGGACGGAGGCAGGGTTGTGGGGTGGGGTGGAGGGTGTAGCGTTGGGAGCGAGTAGGACATCGGTGGGGTGGTGCTGGGAACCTGTGTGTGGCCACTGTTCAGTGGGATGGCTCCTGCTCTGAGAAGGAACCGCGTTCCTCTTAGGCTGAGTTAGGAGCTATTAAATGCATTTGGAAACCTGGAAGCCAGGTCAGTCCCTGGGGAGAAGGGTAAAACCCCTTTCTCTTCCTTTTAGCTGCTGCTGCTGGAGTGCTGTTTCAGAATGAGTCATGTCTGCTCTCGAAGCTGAGGTGCCGAGAGCTTGCTTGCTCTGGAACCCAGACCCGGGGTGGGATTGCTGAGGGGCTCTGTGGGGAAGCGAGGCTGTGAAAATCACCCAGCCTTTCCTTACAGGTAGCGATCTTGTGCCAGTTCCTCAGGGAAGTGGACTACAAAACTGCCTTCAAGGCGCTGCAGGAACAAAACAGGTAAATGTTACAGCAGAGTTTATAGAAAGGTGTACGTGCTCTGGGAGTGTGCTGGGTAACCTCACCTTGCGATCCCTTTCAGCCACGATGCCATGGATTCCTACTACGAATACATCTGGGATGTCACAATTCTGGAATACTTGACATGTATCCTTCCCCTAGCCTGCCCCTGCAGAAAGCTCACGCTGGGTGGGGGTGGCTGGAAGAGGTCCGCTTCCTACCCAGGCGTCTTTCCTTGACTCCCCCTCAGATCTCCACCACAAAAGAGGCGAGACAGACAAGCGGCAGATAGCAGTAAGTGAACGTGGGGGGCTCGGGCTGTCCCTCCCCGAAATGTTCTTTGAAAAGAATCACTGCTTCCAGGTTTAATTTTGTTGCATAACTCTGCAGAGCCTGGGTGCTGATGTACAGCTGTTGGTTTGGGGGGGGTGGGGTGGCATGTTACAGAACTAAAGCCCCCCTTGAAGTGAAAATACCTTGTAAGGGAACAGCTGTCCTAGCGGGATGGAGCTAGCGCTGTCTCCTCTTGTGCTCCCAGATAAAAGCCATTGGCCAGACGGAGCTGAACGCCAGCAATCCCGAGGAAGTCCTACAGCTGGCTGCGCAGAGGAGAAAAAAGAAGTTTCTTCAAGCAATGGCAAAACTTTACTTCTAGGCTGATGCTGGAAGACTATTACAAAATGTGCGGGAAAAATGTTGGGAAAAAATGTTTCAAGACTTTATTATTTTTTAAATTCATTTAAATTTTTATACAACATTTACAGTCTAGTATCTTTCTTTTTAGAAATAGATGAAATCTTATAATAAACCCCTTATTTTTACAAACTGTACAGAAGGCTGGAAGCAACTTCAGCTAATTCCCAAGGGCTTATTTGAAGACAGCGTGAATTCAAGTTTGCTGAGG